TCGAGCCCCGTGTCAGGCTCTGGGCTGATGGCTCAGAGCCTGGAGCCTGTTTCCGATTCTGTGTCTCCCTCTCTCTCTGCCCCTCCCCCGTTCATGCTCTGTCTCTCTCTGTCGCAAAAATAAATAAACGTTGAAAAAAAATTAAAAAAAAAAGAATAAAAAATTCTCAACAGGAAGCTGTTACTTTAGAAAGATTAATGACATGCTAAAAACATGAGAAGAAACACATTCCAAGTTAGGTAATTTGATTACAAATAGCTAAATGCACCACTACCAAATGACAGGTTTTTAAAACTGGGGAGCCCATGGGAATATGACAGTGAGAATAAAAATACATGGTGTTTGCTTTTCCCCTTTTTTGTGTTTTGGGAAAGAAAGGATGATTAGAGAATTGCAGCGTTTTTTTAGGGAGGCAAGACACCCTCACAATGATAATAGCTAACCCTTGGAACTCTTACTATGGGTCAAGCACTGTCCAATGCTTCTCAGCATAGTAACTAGTTTAATTCTTACAATCTACCTTTGAAGCAGCTACTATTATTATCTTTTTTTTTTACACTTGAGGAAACTGAAGCACAGAACCCACAAGTAACTTGCATAAGATCACACAAACTTGTTCAAGTTGGAAGTGTCCAAAGTTGAACTTTAAAGTTCAAGGTCTCTACTTCTGTACTGTAGAAAAATAAAGCAGGAATACCGTTTAGGAAGATGCATAAATAAATGTTTAAGGAAATGCTAATGTTTGTATCTGTCATTGAAGACTCAGGAGAACTTTTGTGGTTCTGGTTGGCCAGCTCAGGTGCAGTATTATCAACTAAAACTACCGTTTTAGTTAACAGATGCTTGGAATATGCTTTATGTGAAGGAAAAACTGTAACGACTTTCACCTTATCACATAGAAATAATAAAATGTGTTATGCATCAGATGTTTTTCATCCTCTATTGAGGCATAAAAATATTTTAAGAACTTTAAAAAAAATACGCCATCTGCAGTTCATGAAGATTATCAGTCACTTTAAAAAAAAAAAAAAAAGGTTCTCAGTAATTGCCTGCCCTTAGAAAAGATGGTTCCAAAGAACACACTTTCCCTACTCAGGACGATGACTTCACAAGGACTCGCTCATTGAGTACAAGAGCTAACACGTTGCCCTTAAGAAAAATGGCAACCTTCTGGTTCCTCTGCCCTTTTCCAAGATGGCTTTCTCGATGCTCTTGGGCGCTGGCCAGGCGCTTCTTCCGGGCTTGGCAAGGGGCGGGGTCCATTGAGTAAAGCCTTGCGTGCCGGCGCCCGCGACGGAGGCGCGCTTCAGGGCGCAGGCGCGGGGAGGGGGTGGGGGAGGAGGGAGAGCGGCGAGTAAGATGGAAGATGAGGAGGTCGCTGAGAGCTGGGAGGAGGCGGCAGACAGCGGGGTAAGGAGGAGCCGCCGCCGCGGGGCAGGGCCGGGCGGGACCTGGCGTGAGGGAAGCCTCCGGGGAGCGGGCCTGGGGATGGTTCTCCCCAAGGAAGGGCCCCACACGCCGGGCCGGGCGTGGAGGAGAGGCCCCCGGTCCTTGAGCGCCGTGAAGGCCTCTTAAAGGGGCCGCGTTCCATTTCTCCCTCCACTTTCGCCCGGTGCGCTTCCCTACATCCCCCCCGACGTGTGCGTCAGCCGGGGCGCCCCACCCGCCATCCAGGGCCTCTTTGCGTGGCCCCCGCGCCCGCTAGCTCTTCCCGGGACTCTCTGGCCCTTCCTCTCCTGTCGCCGCCCACCCCCCCCTCCCGAGTCACCATTTTAAAGTTCATGTGCTCTGATGAGGAGCGACACCCGGTGGGGGGGGGGGGGGGCTGCGCTGACCGGGGCGGCGTGCCCGGCTCCGGAGAAGAGCAGCGGAGGGCAGGAGGGGAAATTGAGTCGTCTCTGGTCCCCTCCACTCTGTGCTAAAATCCCCCATTGCTTTGCGCCTTCCGCCACGGTGGGCGAGTCTGGGTTTTTTTTTCTCTTTCAGTTTTACTCTGAGAGCCCGTTGCAGGCGGGTCTCCCGGGGACCCCGCCAGAACAGCCGAAAGCCCGGTGGGCAGCCCCTCTCCCCGGGGACCCACCCAGCGATCTGAGCCCGGGGCGAAGGTCTTGGAGAGTACTTGCCCGGGTCCGGGGGGGGGGGGGGGGGGGGGGGGAGGGGTGCGATTTGTAAAGTAGCCGCATTCCTGGGAGAGGAGGGGGGAAATGGACCCTTCGACTTTGCTTTTGGAGTTTTTGTTTGACTCTAGAAGCTGTAGGGAAATAGTTTATCCCAAGCTGAAACAGCCGGAGCCAATCCTGTTAGGTTTGTGATTAATTTGGGTCTTTTCAGAGTTTGTGGTTCAGTGGTGACCCTTGTGAAGATGCGGAGATAGCCTTTTGGCCTCCCGGCGTTCGTGTCTGTTCAGTGTTGGCTCAAGTGACCTCCACCTTCAAGATTTATGTGTTGGGAGTGGGGCGCGGAGAGCTGAGTGTACTAGGGTAGAACAGGAGTTTTGTTTTTATTTATTTATTTATTTATTTTCCCCCAAGCGCCTTTGAGGGTGCTCATCAGAGCTGGAAGAGGCGGAGAAATTGACCCGGCTGCAGAGGATATCTCTGCGGGAATGTTGAAACTTGGCTTCGCTCGTAGTCTTTTCCCGTGGTTCAGCATTTCTTTCATGGTGTTTCTGTTTTTCCGCTTAGCATAATTAAGAATTTGATGGATTAGTTCCTTCAGAAGGTATTTGATACAGTTCTTATGTGCTGACCATCTTTCTTGGATTTTGACTTGAGTAAGGAGAGCGATTGAAAGATTTTATAGAGAGCAACAGGTGTCTGAGTGTTTATTCAGCAAACATTTTTTGAGTGTCTCTATGTGCTGGACAGTGTGTGTAGCAGTGACTTTGTGCTATAGAATGCAAAATTTCCGGGTACAGGCATTTATTACCTACCACTAATATGAGTGCAGCATTCAGACATGCTTCATGTACACCCTTCTGCAAAAAAAAAAAAAAAAGAAAAAAAAGCCTGGCCTGTAATTTGAATGTGGCTCAAATGATAAGTTTCTTGAGCATCTTGACATTTCTTTGTTTTTTTCTGACCTGTTTACAAGAGACATGAGTTTTTCATGTTAGGAAAATAAAAACAAAAATCAATGCAGAAATTCAGAAAATCAATTCAGAAATCTGTGGATTACTTGTGTTTTTCAGAACAGATAAGGATCAGCTAGCCCAGTCCCACATTTTACAGCTGAATGAACCCCAGGGATGTAGGATTTAACTTAGATCTTTCTGATGTTTGTCCACTATGCTTTTGACTATATGTTAGTAAAACCCTTTAGAAGTGCCCGGTATAGAGATGGAACCCAAACCTTGCCTTGTTGACATAGGAGCAAAATGCAGGTTCCTTCTGTATCTTTTATGTAACTGAACCACTGAAATAATTTGTAGTTATTACCCTTTTATAACCAAGGAAACTGAAGTTTAGAGAATAACCTGTCTTGTGCAAGGTCGCACGGATTGGATAGTAAGTAGGGAGCTGGGTTTTGACACCAAAGCCTATCTGACTCCAAGGCAGAGTCCATTCTGTAGCATTTTGCTGTCTCCCTTCCTGGGACCTGTGGAAGACTTGGGAGTTGGGCATTACCTTTATTTTTTCATATGTTTGCTTTCGGCTTATATTTGAAGGCTTTCTTGAATTTGATTCCCTCTTTGAATTTCACAAACGGTTTTGTAAATGTGCACCTTTGAAGGAAGGGTGCCAGAGATGGGATGACGTGCTGTGTCCACGTCACTGGGAAACCAACTGATTGTACGTGTCTTTCAGATGTAGCCAGTTGCATATGTAAAAGTTGTCCTTTCTAACATTCAAGTGATCCTTTCTAACAACTGAAACTTGGTAATGAGTGTTACGCACTCACCCTTCCAAAAAAACAATCTGGATGGTGAGAAGACTAGTAAATGGGGGTTGACAAATTTTTTAAGTGAACACGCAATCTTTATATAATCTGGAGATAGTTCTGATCCTTCAAAATAGAGGCCTTTGGGTGATCCCTGCCCTCGGCACCACGAAAAAATTTTGATGTCATACTGGAGGTTTTGTTTTGTTTTTTAATGTTTATTTATTTTGAGAGAGACCGCACCTGCCTGTGTTGGGGGTGGAGGACAGGCAGAGAGAGAGAGAGAATCCCAGGCAGGCTCCTGCTATCATCACAGAGCCCACTGCAGGGCTCAATCTCATCGTGAGGTCATGACCTGAGCCAAAATCAAGAGTCAGATGCTTAACCGACTGAACCACCTAGGTGCCCCTGGAATTTCTTATGTGTCGGTACATCTGAGATCGTCTTTTTCTTGCATATTTTCAAAATACTCAATATTGAGTCCTATTGTGTCATTCTGGGGGAAGACTCCAAATTGAGAAATACTCCAAATTTTCTGTAAATTGGCTGCCTTTTGCTGTTAGTTAATGTGGTGAACACTGACCTGATATAGAACTATCCTACTTTCCTGTTTCCTCCCAAAGAGTCACATTGCCAATCAAAGGACAATTCAAGGAATATAACTTACATCCCACTAAGGAAATGCTTCTTTAAACATATACTGCCTTTGGGAGAAATGAAAATGTAAATTGAGTTAATTTTGATTCAAACTCTAAATTCTGTCCTTTGTTTTAAGCACATTTCAAGGGACAAATAGAGCATTTTGTAATTGGAAGACATCTTTGTGCGCCAAAAAAAAAAAAAAAAACAGATCAACAGTTTGCTCAGTTTCTGACAGTTTGAAACTTTATATATTCACATGTTTAGGGAAAAAACAAACAAACAAAAAAAAGGCATAACCTTGTCCATCTTGTTGGTAATGGGCTAACCTGATCCTAGGGGAAGACAGATGGTACATAAATGGAATTGGACTGGTAGCTATAATGCTTTGGCAGCCTCTCTGATTTCTTTGCATCTCAAAGTTGCCTTTTGTCCTTTGCCAAAGGCAAGTCATGTAACTAATTGGAAGAAAATGTATCTTAAGTTAAAGGACGACTAGTCCGTCTTCTGGACTAAGAATTCAAATTTATGTTTACTTTCTACCCTCACTGAACCTCTAAACATTACCCCATCAGCAATGCTGGTTGCCATATAAGTCTATAAGAAAGTGTCAGTAAACTCCAGATACCTACTGTGTATCAGGCACTGGGCACAGGCCAGTGAAGGAGTCAGATGGGTAAAGCAGCGCTTTTCTTTAGAAGAGGCATAGATGGGGTACGATAGCTGGGATCAGAGACAGTCTTGTAGAAAGAAGATGATGTTTCAGACTACTTGAATTAAGCTGTAGAAAGTCTGGGAGGGGTGGGTAGAGTGTAGGGCCAATGTGGATGTGTATAGGCAGCAAGAGAAGAATGTGCCGCGTTGGGAGAGCTACAAATACTTCCTTCTGGCTGTGGGGTAAGGGTTTGGCAGGGCTGAATGGAAAGAGACGAGGCCAGAGAGGTATGCAGGGGCCAGATGGGGAAGGGCTTCGTTGTATTTGGTTCTGGGGAGCTTGGACTTTGTCCTTACAGCACAAGAGAGCTTTGAAGGCTTAATTTTTTTTTTAAAGCAGAGTAGTGGCATATTTGTTTATTTACTTATTTTGAGACAGAGCGTGCCTGTGAGCGCTCGCATGGGGGAGGGGTAAAGACAGAGGGGGAGAGAGAATCCCAATCAGGCCCCATGCAGTCAGCACAGAGCCTAACATGGGGCTTGATCCCACGAACCAGAAGATCATGACTTGAGCCCAAGTCAACAGTCGGATGTTTAACCAACTGAGCCATCCAGGCATCCCTGGCATAGATTTTAATTGAAGAGATAAGAACTTTGATTTACTTCTTGTGTGTGTGTGTGTGTGTGTGTGTGTGTGTGCACGCAAAAAGGTGATTTTATTAAAGCATGGGGACAGGACCCATGGGCAGAAAGAGCTGCCTGATTTACTTCGTATTCTTTGGAGAAGAGGCCATTCTCCCTCCTGGAGCATGGCTTGCACCTTACTTTGGGGTCCTTAGCGCTTCCTGTAACTGCTGTCATTATGGAATATTTACCATAGCTGTGGGTAGTGGGCAGATAACAGTTATTTCGGGGCTACCTAAGGCTGATTTCTTTGTCCTTAGAGTAAAGAAGGCATTTAAGATTTGTGGTATTAGAAAGTACAAATCCAGGTGTCCCATGCCTGTGAAGGAGCCATTTCTTTCTTTTTTTTTTTTTTTTAATTTTTTTTTTAACGTTTATTTATTTTTGAGACAGAGACAGACAGAGCATGAACGGGGGAGGGTCAGAGAGAGAGGGAGACACAGAATCCGAAACAGGCTACCGGCTCTGAGCGGTCAGCACAGAGCCTGACGCGGGGCTCGAACTCACAGACCGCAAGATCATGACCTGAGCCGAAGTCGGCCGCCCAACCGACT